AGTTCAAATTAGCTTTCTCCCACAGGCAGGAAAAAGTCCCTATTTTAAAATTAATGGGAGGGATTGATAGCCAGGCCCTGGTTTGCTAAACCTTCACCCATCTGTGGCCCTTCTGCAAAGCGGCTGTTGCCTGTTTGTTAGGATTTTCCTGTGCGTGGCCTGTCATGCAATATCTTTCATGGCTACATTCGCAGCACAGGGTATTGTTTTCTGGTTTGTGTTGTGACCTTTGTTCCTGTTTTAATGTTGAGCGACCAGAACAAAGGGTTTTGGGTTAAGTGTTTGCTTCAGTATACTAGCTATTGTGCTTTCCTGAGATCAGCGAAGGGGGCAGCCTAGGGGAGTCCACTGATTTATTTCCTGGATAAAGCACCAGTGACCAAACTTGCATTCCCTTTGACACACTACCTGGGAGCACCAGGTTACATCTGAGCACCTGACCGTTACACTAACCCCTTCCCTAGCTGTATCCATGTAAAAGTCACACCCATTCCTCTGAGGGATTGGTCATGTGTGTTCCAATATAGGTGTGCATGCAGCATGCACGTGTCGTAGGAAGTTTTTCTCATAGTATCCTTAGGGCCAGCAGGGAGCCCCGTGGAGTGGTGCCGGTATATCAGCCCATATATACCCCTGCTGGTCCCTATATCCACTCAGTTCCTTCTTACTGCCATGATGGTTGTTGGAACAACCCTCAGCTTGCCCTCGAGTTGTTTTCCTTGTTAATTCCTCTTCCTTGTTATCAACAGTCTTCAGTTAAGTACCTGTAAATCTGTCTGAAAAGACTTTCCTTTGTGTTTACTCTTTCAACCTGAGGCGGTACCATGCTCCCATGGCAGGGCATGCCTGGCCCACAAGGCTTCAAGCCCTGTAGGAGGTGCAGCAAGTCTATGCCATGTAGTGTAGTGCCTGGGGGAATCTCATATAACATCCGCGTGCAAGATTTGCAAAGCGTTCATGGCCAGGATCAAAGGAGTGTGAATTGTGGCTTAAGGCGCTTCTAATGCAGGCGGCACTCTGGCTGGCACGGGGGCCCAGCAGCGCATCGGGCTGGGTGCGCAACACCTTGGTGCACCACGTCTCTCTGGGACCGATAGGGCCAGGTGCCATTCCCACTTGCCAGGACCGTCTAGGAAGAGGCAGCTTGATAGGGGTCAGTCCCTGCTCAGGCACATGGCCTCCATGCACTTTACAGGGGGGCATGTGGTGCCAGTCAGCCCACAACCCGGACCTTCTAGGTTGGGTGACTATCCTTGTCAACAGGGTGCCATCCCCCCAGACAACTTCCCAGACCCCTCCCGGAGACTTTAGAGGCGCAAGAGTACTCATGGAGGAGTCTCCCCTCCACCCACCTTGCCACCCTCTAGACAGCACAGGGACGCTCGGCACCGCTCTCCCTCCAGGGCACCATGAGAGTCAGCACACAAGGTACGAAGCCACGTGCCCTATGCCCTGGCATCGTGGCAAGCCTGAAGCATCATGCTGCAGCACATTCGGCGTCTGCACCACCATGGTGTGCATCAGACTATTCTTCCGAATCTGAAACAGAATTGGCATGGTCATCAAGAGCTTTCAGGTCCCGCTCATGGCACCGCCCTTCTCCGCAGCGCTTCCAACAGCAGTGGGGCCGGCCGAGCCCGGTTCCAATGCTGCGACAGACTTGGCCTCCACAACCCACCTGGGCGGTGGCCTTTTTGGACTTCCTGGGCTTACCATCAGAGCCAGGGCTCCAATCTTCCCAGACCAGCCTCCGTTGCTTCAGGCCCGTGGGTCCCTCCATTGGCTACTCCTCTGGTCTGATCTCCCACGTTGACGCACTCATTGCCTCTGGGCCAGTCATCCTCTGGCCCAGAGGGGAGTACGGCCCCTTTAAGGGACCTACTCTGCTGCCTGGTTCAGAGTCTGGGGTCCAGGCAGACAAGATCACAGAGGACTCTCATGGAACCGTCGACATCTTGCAGGCCGATACCTCATCCAGAGTGGCGTTGCCTATCGACAAGATGGTCGCCAAAATTTCAGCAGCCCTATGGCAGACCTCGGCTTCCATCCCGTCCACAGATAAGCATGCAGAGCGGAGGTACTCATCCCTCAGGAGGATAACGAGCACCTCTTCTCCCACCCTCCCCTGGCTCTCTGGTCGTACGGCGATTAACCAGAGAGAGAGAGGCGGGCAACCCGTGGCTACCCCAAAAAACAGACACACCAAGACGACAGACTTATTGGGCAGGAAGGTCTACGCATCCGGGGGCATCCAATACTGGATTGCCAACCGGCAGGTCCTTCTGTCCAGATATGGCTATAACACCTGGACGTTGATGGCCAAATTCGTGGACTTACTTCCCCGGGACTCCCGGGCTCAATATAAGACCCTTCAAGAAGAGGGGAGGGCGATTTCTCGAGCAGCATTGCAAGCAGTGCTTGATGTGGCTGATGCAGCTTCTTAGGTCATGGCCACCGGGGTTGTCCTACACCACAGTTCAGGGCTGCAGGGCTCAGCGGTGCTGCTGGACGTCCAAAATACACTCCAAGACCTTCCTTTGGAAGGCTCCTCACTCTTCTCAGAGCAAACCGACCAGCGGCTACATGGCCTGAAGGACACGAGAGCCACATTGAAGTCCTTAGGCCTACACACTCCTGTCACTCAGAGGCGTTCGTATGTTAACAGGAATGCTCCTAGAATGCCCCCGCAAGGCCTACACCCTGATTACACCCAACGTAGGGGCAGGGGTAATAACGGCAGGAACAACTGACACCGCTCACGCCCAGTCCAGGGTTCCAACCAGGGGCCCCCCAGCAAAGCCCCTGGATTCCGACGGGTTTTGGCGGGACCCCCTAGGGCCTTGTTCCAGTCTCCTCATTTGCCTTCCGGGACCTCTTATCCTGCTTCCTCCAGGCCTGGCAGTCAGTTACATCAGACCGCTGCATCCTGGAGATAGTGGACTCGGGCTATGCTATTCCCTTCCTCTCGCCCCCACCTTCCCAGGCCCCTACCCTCTCTCTTTTCAGGGATCCCTCTCTTGAGCCTCTGTTACAGGAGGAAGTAATTCACCTCCCCTCGTTACGGGCGGTGGAATGTGTTCCCCCGAGTTTCGGAACAGGGGCTTTTATTCCTGCTACTTCCTGGTCCCAAAAGCAAAAGAGAGTCTCCACCCTATCCTGGACCTCCGAGCCCTAAACCTTTTCATCGTCAAGAAAACATTCAATATGGTGACTCTGGTGTCCATTATCCCCTGCCTAGCACCCAGAATTGGTACGCTGCCCTCAGCTTGAAGGATGCTTACTTCCACGTTTCGATTGCGCTCTTCCACCGCAGGTTTCTACGGTTCACCGTGGGTCAGGACCACTACCAATTCACGGCCCTTCCTTTTGGCATTTCTATGGCTCCCTGGTTCTTCACCAAATGCATGGTGGTCGCCAAGTGGCCGCCAAGCTCAGAAAAAGGGGAGTCCAAATTTTCCCTTATCTGGATGATTGGATCCTCGGGGGAGTCCGATACCCAGGTGAGAGACCACATCATCATAGTCTGCGAGCTCTTTCAAGAACTCTGTCTCCTCCTGAACCTGAACAAATCCACCTTAACTCCCACCCAGACAATAGAATTTGTGGGTGCCACCCTGGATTCCCGATCCCAGAAAGCCTCTCTACCCAGCGCCTGTTTTCTCACGTTGCAGTCAGCGGTCAAGTCACTTCAGAGCTTTCCGGTGACCACCGCCCGGACTTGCATGCACCTGTTGGGCCTAATGGCCACCTGCACCTATGTAGTGCAACATGCCAGGCTGCGCATGCGCCCACTGCAGACGTGGCTATCGCAGATCCACAGGCTGACTGTCCACTCCTGGGACACAGTGTTAACCGTCCCCGCACATGTTCTCCTTGCACTGGAGTGGTGGACCCATCAAGCGGAAGTCTGCTCAGGAGTCCTGTTCTCCCGCCCAGTCCCGTTGATCCAGCTTGTAACAGATGCGTTGGACGCTGGCTGGGGAGCCCACCTCGGAGAGCTGCACACCCAAGGCAGGTGGTTCCCCCCGCGAAACCCCCTGCAGATCAACGTCAGGGAACTCAGAGCAGTCCGACTGGCTTGTGCGTTTCCCTTCCCCAGTTGAGGGGCAGGTCGGTCCCAATCCTGTCGGACAGCACTACGGCAGTAGCATATATAAACAAGCAGTGTGGGGCCCGATCGCCCCCCCCCTCCCCGCCTGTGCTCCGAGGCGGTCCGCCTCTGGGAGCTTGGTATAGGGGCTGACATCCACCTGATGGCCTCGAGCCTCCCGGGCTCGCAGAACGTTCTGGCGGACAGACTGAGCAGCTCATTTGTGAGCCACGAACGGTCTCTGCGCTGGGACATCCATTTTCCGCACCTGGGGCTTTCCCCACCTGGACCTGTTCCGCCAAGTGTCCTCGCTACTGCTCCCTCATGGGTCGCGGCCAGGGTTCCCTGGGGGATGCTCTCCTCCTTCGTTGGCCTCAGGGCCTCATACGCATTGCCCCCAGTCCACAGGGTCCTGTTGAAAGTGCAGGAGTTCAGAGCATTATTCATCCTAATCGCCCCAGCAACATTGGTTCTCGCCACTCCTCAGCCTCTCGTGCAAAAGCCCCATAGCCCTCCCAGTAGTACTGGACCTCATATCCCAGGAGTCAGGCAGACTTCACTGTCCAGACCTTCAGTCCCTTCCCTTGAAAGCATGGAAACTCCATGGCTAACGGCTCAGGCGCTCGCTCCAGTGCTCTCAACGATTCCAGGGAGTCCTACCGGGTAGCAGGAAACCCTCTACTAGATCCACGTACCGCGCTAAGTGGAAGCAGTTCTGCTCTTGGGCGTCCCGGAAGAGGGTACACCTGAGATGGACCCCGGTCCCCTTGGTCCTGGATTACCTGCTGGACCTCAGGTTCCAGCATCAATCTTCCTCCATTAAGGTCCACCTGGCGGCCATCTCGGCCTTCCACCCAGGGGAAGGGGGCAACTAACCCGATTGTTACCAGGTTCTTGAAAGGTACGGACAGGCTCTACCCCATGTCAGACAACCCATTCCCCAGTGGGACCTGAACTTGGTCCTTTCCAAGCTAATGGGGCCCCGTTTGAGCCACTGGCCATGTGCTTACTCCTTCACCTATCATACAAGATTTTCCTCCTAGTGGCAATCACTTCCGCAAGGCGGGTATCTGAGCTTAGGGCACTGATGTCAGATCCCCCTTACACGGTGTTTTTTAAGGACAAGGTTCGGCTCCGCCCCCATACGGCTTTCCTGCCAAAGGTGGTCTCTTCGTTCCACGCTTCCCAGGATATTTTTCTGCCAATCTTTTACCCGAAACCGCATGCATCTGGGAAAGAACAAGCCTTACACGCGGTAGCTGTACGTAGGGCGTTCACCTTTCATTTAGACAGGACCAGATGTGACGGCGCGTTGGGGTTCCCCCGACTCCTGCACCCCCGTAATGGCACGAACAGACTCCACTAGCCAGTAAAACAGAGGGAGTTTATTGCTTCTCCAGGATACAGCACAGCACAGATGTAATTTGGTTCCAGGGCAGGCCTAGCCTAGGATGCCTCAGCCCCCCTTGATATGGGGGATACTGGGCCCCTAAATTCCAGCCCCCTTCCCTAGGCTGTCTCCTCCATGATCCCAGCCAGAAAACTAACTCTCTTCCAGCCCTGCCCCCCAGCCAGGGGCGGCATCCACCTTCCTTTGTTTCTCCCCATGGGGGGTAGCTGGTCAGACAGGTTGACTCACCCCCTGCCCTGCTGGGTCGTGGTTCAGACAGCAGAGGTCGCCCCCTGCCCAGCGTAGCAACAAACAAGGCACCAGACTGTTCCAAAAATCACCACAGCTTTTTGTAGCCATCGCGGAACGTATGCGAGGCCAACCTGTATCCACCCAGGGAATCACCTCATGGATAACCGCCTGTAGCAGGGAGCGCTACTCCCTAGCAGGCATATCTGCCCCTTCCCTTAGGGCACATTCCACAAGCATCCATCACCTTCACAGTACAGATCCCCATCCCGCACATCTGCAGGGCTGCCACATGGCCCTCAGTCCACACGTTGGCCAGTCGCTATGCCCTCCCACGTCAGGCCAGGGAGGATGCTACCCTAGGAAGGGCGGTCCTTAACTCCACCTAGTTGGGTTCTGCTTTGGAGTCACCTACATGGAATGCACGTGAGCAATCACTCGAAGAGGAAAGAACGGTCACTTTCCTCGTAACTGTGATTCTTCGAGATGTGTTGCTCATGTCCATTCCAAATCCCGCCCACCACCCTTTCCGGAAATATACCGGTAGAAGGAACAGAGTGAGTGAGGGGTATATATGTGCTGATACACCGGCGCCACTCCACGGGGCTCCCTGCTGGCCCTAAGGATACTGCTGAGGGAAAACCTTCCGACGCCGCGTGCATGCTGCATACGCATACCTATATTGGAATGGACATGAGCAACACAGCTCAAAGAATCACAGTTACAAGGTAAGTAACCGTTCTTTGCCTTCCCCCAGGTAGTATCTTTGGAGATAGCTGTATTATATTATGTGGCATATGCATTATTGTGCTTCACGAGATGGGGGATGATTAAAAAGAGCTACTTATAGGGATGAAAACAGAAGTGGGCTATTCTCCCTGGAATTGTAAACCATTCCAGAGATGTTCCACCTCCTTGGTGGTTTGCATATGCTGATTCAGCTGGGGTTTCCCCAGGAACAAAGAACAGGCTTTTGGCATAAAAGGCTGAATTGAAACTGACAGTGGGGTTTACCTGTTGAGTCGAGACAGGCTTGGAGCGCTAAGGAGACCTCCCGCCTTGCAAGACTGACCGTTACCACAGCCCTAGGAGTTGGAGTGACCTCAGGTAAGCTTTTATGAAGTCCTTGTGTTTTTAGTTCTTTCAAGTCACCATATACGTAAACAGTGGCTTGAGTGCAGTGGAATGTACTTCGTAGGCAGTGTTTGTACCCTGACTGTCCTTCTGGGTCACGGAGCAGCATCCCCTCTGTCTGGTCATCAATTAATTTTCCTAGTAGTAGAGGATCTTGTCCCAGAACCAGGGCAAATTGGAAAGGTTCTGAATGTTTTGGCCTGTTCACAACGCAGGGAGACGTGCACAAGTGAACATCTCAGCATTTTATCTCATTTACCCCTCTGTGTGTCCACAAGAAGAGGTTTGGAACATCATGCTCTCCTAGCTGACCTGCCTTTCGTGGGCATCTGCAAGGACAAGATTTCCCATGGGACTCGCACTACGTTTATACCCAGGACGTGACGCCGTTCCATCGAAGCCAAGGACTCACCTTCTGGTGTCTTTTTTTCTTAAAACCGTGTTCTTTTCAGATGGAGGGAGCACTCCATGGTTTGGATGTGGGAGGTTCCTTGTGCTTCAGGGCTTCCCCCAGGCTTCCTGGAGCCCATATGGAGAGGATTAAGGAGCAGCTAGCATCCTCAGCTAATTGCACATAGAATTGTGACTGCATTCAGCTCCGCTCCAACCTTGCCACGGACTCCTCACTGTGAATAATGGCTCAGTCGCTGCATGTGCTTCCCTCAGCAATGTTCCGCTAGCAGGTACCTGCAAGACAGCGAGGCTCTCGTCCCTGTGTTCCTCCCCCTCCCGCCAGCCCTCATCTCTGCCAGAAGCTGGGAACAGGTGATGGTCCGGGTCATGGTTCTTCCCTGTTGTGTTCGCTCCTCCTGGGGCCCCTGGCCTTGGCCGCTGGTGGAAGGCAGGGCATCGGCCTGGACCGACCTTTGGTATGACACAGCCTGACTGTTCTTACAGCAACACCAACCTTAGCAAATGGGCGTTAGCATCTTTGTCCAGCTGATCCAAAGTCCTACTGCTTGTAACGGGCCGAGGAACAGTGCGTGGCAGGGGCCTATACAGCCTTTCAACCCCCAAACAGAAGACCACATGTTGTTGGGCAGCACTGCAGATTAATAGACCCCTTCTCTCCCCTCCCATCCCCCCGGGTTTTTATTTCTATTGGTGATGCACATTTACACATGCCTCTGTGCACATAAACATTTATTCTGCACAAGGGACAAGTTCGCAGGAGCATGGGGCAGGTAACTGACATTTTGCTGTATATACTGAACACGGGCCACTGGCTGTGATTGCCCGAAGGCCTGCGCCCTTGCCAGACGTTCTTTCAGTTGTCATGTGGCTTCTCTCTCTGGGACCCCCGGAACACCCCTTTGCGTTCTTCCTGCTGTCTCCTGGGGCTGCTGAGTGCAGCTGTGGCCACAGCTCATCAGTTCCCCTGGTTCTACAGGCATTTCAGCTCACTCCAAGATTTCAAACGCTGGGTGAATTTATCAGGCCGTAGCATGCTGCAGAAAGCAGGCCCTGAGCTGGGCCCGCCCCAGTCTTTCCGGTAATGCCGGAGTGTGTTAGTCAGATGACTCTGGTGTGATTCACATGCCCCTGCCTATGGGCTTGAAGCAACTCGCCTGCATTCCTCTCTGGATCTTCTGCCTGCTGCTTGTTTACAGCCCTGGTGGGCAGTGGTCCGCTTGGAGCATCCCAGGAAGGGGTGCTGCCCGCTTCCCCACATGCCATCCTGCTGCTAGTGCATTTCAGCCCTGCCCTGGGGGTGGAGAGAGGGCGGCTGTGAGGTTTGCCAATGACCAGAGGCCCAAAGAGGGGTCCTTCAATCCAAGCATCGGTGCTGCAGCTTCACCTCCCACTGGGGCCTCCGGGCTCAGCTGTTCTCCCTGCACCAGCCTGTGCCCCCTGTGCCAGCCTGCCCCTCCCCTGTACAGAGGTGCACGTCACCAAGAGCTGCTTGCCAGAGACTGTTCCTCCAGACGAGTCGCGCTGGGAAGGAGGCAACGCTGCGATGCGGCCGTTCTGCTGCAACCCTCGCGGGCTCCCTGCTTTTTGCTCCTCGGAGGGAGCCTGGTGCACCCAGCGAGTTCTTCCCTCTTCCTGATCTCTGAGAGCAGCCCGGCCAAGCGAGGTGCGGAGCGGACCCTTAGCTGGCTCTCGTGGGCCCTGCTGGGGGAGGAAAGCCTGGGTCTGTGAAAAGTGAGTCAGCCAGAAGACCCAGCGCAAGGGCTGCAGTAGCCAGCACCTCCAGCAAACGACTCACTCCGCTACGCCCTCTCGGGCCCCTGCATGGGGAGCCGTGGTTCCCGACAGCGGTATCGGC